TGGTATAACTGTATCAACTGGTTCAGGAACAAATTCCTTGCAATTTTTTATACATTCCTCTTTATCACTAAAATTACCACTACCATACATTTGGCACAATACACAATTTTTTAATTCTTCACAACGACTTGGACAAGTTGGGCATTTATTACAATGTTTACCAGAATACCTAGTGCTTCCTTCCTCGTGACAAATACATTCACCACAAATACAATCACCCTAGATAATAAAAAATTAATTAATATTATAATTATAAGATAGAAAATAAAATTTTTTTGCCAAAATAATAAAAAGCCTACATGTCCTGAACATAATACTCCATTGGTAGTTCCTGGTGCAATACAAGTTTCATTTGAAGATCTACAATTACAAGATGGACCAGTCCATCCTGCATTGCAAACGCATTGTCCACATTCACATGTTCCATGATTTGAGCACAAATGACCTTGATCTCGATCACAGGAGAAATTATCACATTCACAAAAATGACCTGAAATTATCTATAAATGGATAATATTATATATTCAATTAAAAAATTTTATATAAGTTTTTTAATCAAAATTATATTTACTTCTTCAGGATTTTCTCTTTCTTCACATTCACATTGACCACAAGCACAAGTTCCTCTTCCTGAACAATCTATAAGAGAAATGTTATCAGGTCTACAAGATTGAAAATGTTTATCTAATCCTGTCATTTCTTGATGAGGACTGCATTCACAACGTTTTCCAAAAAATCCATCATAACATTCACAAATACCACATTTTAAAGTTCCTACACCATTACATTCTGGTGATTTTGGTTCAAACATAGTACCTTCACGTTCGCATTCACAGTCACATAACATTTCTAAATTTACTGTCAGTGTTTCATTGATTCCTACCTAAAAAAAAAAAAACAAAGAGAAAATTTTTTTTGTCAAAAAATAGTAAATGGACAAGTACAAATTTTTATTCTTACTGGATAGATATCAAACTTTTGTTTCCATTCTGATCTATTTTCTGGACAACTTGTAACTTCAATTTCTGCTGTAAATTCTACTTTTGTCCCTACTTTTAATCCGTCACATTTTGAAGTTTCAATAAGTGGACCTGTGCCCAAACATTTTGAGAAATATTTTACTTTCACAGCACTACTTGCTGTATCTTTCATTTCAACTGAACTTGAAATTGCATCATACTGTTCACGAATTAATTCTACAACATTACTTGAATCATCTGACAATTTACCAGCAAATGATCCTTCTACATGTTTAGTTAATCTTTTATATACATTTATTTGTTCTTCTGTAACAGCCCATATAATATTAATAGCATTTTGTTTAACTTTTAAATTAATCTGAGAAATACTTGGATAATCTTGCAAAGATGAATGTGTATAAAGTCCACTATTATCTAAGTGACATTCTCCATCATTTGGTTTGATAATTCCACCTAATTTACCATCTCCTGCATAATGAAAACCAGCATCTGTTGAAAATACTAAAAGTCTACGAGCTTTTTCACGCCAACCTATTTGTCGTCTACAAACTATAGCTTGCATTATTGCATCAAATCCTCCTTCTGGTGCATCTAAATTACCAGATACTGAAGCATTTCGCACTAAACTCTATATATATAAAAAAAAGTTATAATAATAATTATAATATATATAATAATTTTTATAGAATATTGAAAAATTAAATTATGTAATTAATATACTTACTGCAAAATGACTAGTATCTTGAGATAATGTCATAATATTTTTATAACCATATGGTGCTGCACATCCATCACATGGTTCTTTTAATCTGAAATCATACAATGATTATAAATTAATTATCAAATATATAAAAATTATAAATAATATTCAAAATTATACCCAAAGATTATAATTTTTTTTTGGGAACTTACGATTTAGGCATTGTACTAACATAAGGCATTACGACTTTATCAACAAAACTGCCAAAACCTAAACGAAAATTACTTGTAATTTTACTCATGCTTTCTACCAGAAGTTGACCTAAGTCTGATAATTTTTTTTTATCATCTTCCATTGATTTACTCAAATCCATAAGATAATACAAATCGACAGGATAATCTTCAGCTTGAGAATAGGCAAATGTCATTCTATGAGCTTCATCTATCATTCAGAATTGATATCATTTAATAATGTAGATATTATTTAGTTAGTGCAATTATTTATTAATATTTATACTAATATTTAAAAGAATATTAATTACTTGCTATTTATAACTTACTTATTCTAAGTTTTAAATTAACTTCTTGGGGCCAAATTTGTATAGCTTCTTGTCTTTTGTTACCACTATTATTATTATTATTATTACTGCTACTAGTTTCTTTATAGGATTGTGAACCATATGTGCTAGAATTTATATATGAATATTCATAACTATTAGCACCACCACTTGCATAACCACCTTTTGTTAAATTTCTGTGTCTTATCATACTAAAAACATTATCTGGATTCCATGTATATTCTGCTGGACATGTTGCAAATATTTTGGTATTGATATTAGGTAGAAAACATCGCTTTTCAGAAAATTTCTATAAAAAATTAATATATTTTATAATTATTTATATGATATATATAAATATTAAATACTTACTGGTGCAGCACACCAGGCACAATGTGGTGTTTGTATACATTCATGACATGTTTGTTTACTGATACAAGGATTCATTCCAGTCAGTCTTTCTAAAGGTAAATAATTTGCATTTACTGAAGTAATAATTATTATTGATATAATCCATCTTGAACTGTCAAACATTCTGTATATATATAAAATATATCAGTATTCATATAAATTTTTTTTAAATTAATATAATTTATAGATCATTTGTTAAAAGATAATTGTAAGAGTAAAATAATTTTTTTCAGTATTTAAATTTTAATTAAATTTTAATTAAATTATAATTTTACATAATCATTTCCAAAAATAATATAAAGTATAAAGTAATATTCTTATAATTTTTATAATTATTTTCATAATTATTAATTCAATAAATTTTTAAATTATATATTATAATTATATATTAATATATTCTTAATTTATTTATTTCTTCTAAGAATAAGTATGAATTATAATAATATAAATTATCTATAAAATTCATTTGATAGATTTAATTATATTTATTAAAAAAAATTAAATAATTTTTATTTAAAAACACAAATTAATTATTTTATTTACAAATATAATAGAAATTTGATTTGGTAAGCTATGCACATATAACTCAAATTAATTTTTTATTTTATTATAAAATTATATCTATAGAATTTTTTATATATATAAAAAATAGAAATAATTAAATTAATTTGAAACTAAGATTATTAAAATTTGATATTAAAATACTATAATATTAAAATAGTTTATATATAAATATCTAAGTCGTAAAATTTATATTAAATGTTATATTTGTGAGAAAGAAACTAAAAATAAAATAAAAAAATAGAATATTTTTTTTTATAATTAATTAATTATTTAATAAAATGAATGTTATTAAGATATGATTATATGATAAAAGTTCTATGTTTAGTAATAACTTTCAATTTAAGTAAGTATTCCATATAATTTAAATAAAAAATTAATCAATTGTAAAATTTTGAAATATATTTTCTTTTTTATCAGATATATATATATATACTTAATGTATACCTGTAAAATGCAATTATTCATGACTTAAAACAGACCGCTTATTCATTCACAATGATGCCGTCATCTTTATATTTACAAAATGCTATCTTTAATGAAGCTGAAAATATTAAAACAAAAAAACTATAAGATAAGAAACTTTAAAGGCTTACTTTTTCATTAGATATTTTTTCTTCAATTTGATATTAGAACATCACACGTTTTGATCAATGTTTTCTTGTTATCCAAATCGCCATAAAAGGTAACCCATCAAACGCACGCACTCCACAAACAACTGCCTATACAAGATTGCGATAGTCTCAGACTTAGAAGTCTTGGTCTGTGACTAAGTTTGATTCTGATTATACATACAGCATAGAATAATAATAAGTAGATATGTAACTATGAAACTGAAATGAATAAATATAATATTAATACTATAATGCTAATATAATATGCTACATATAGCATTAGCATATAATATGCTACATACGCATATAATATTTTCATTATAATTTTTCTTTTTTATAAGATATACAGAAAAATAAGAAAAATAAGAAAAATAAGAAAAATTTTGAAATTCAGTAAAATTTTTAAATAATGTTATATATTTTTAATATTGCACTTTTAACAATTTTAAATAATATTATTATATTAAAATAGCTAAAAATATGTAATTAAAAATAATTTTTGTAATATTATTAATGAATGTTAAGGTACGTTTTCACACGATAGTAATTTGTGACTTTTTTAATCACGACGCTAAATGATATCATAATTTCTTTTAACCTAAAAACTATTACTATATTGTAATATCAAAGATGTTACATTATCATTATTATTGAATCGCGAAGTAATATAATATAACCTAATATAATGTCACGATATGAAAATGATTTATACTGCCGCATGAAAACATACCTTTAATAATATTAAATAATATTAAATAAAAAGTATCTAATGAAATATTGTAATTTGATATTGTATAATCGAGAAAGTAATATTCTTGATCTCTATTATACATATTTTTTGTGCTTAAAAACATACATATATATATATATATATATATATATATATATATATATAGAGAGAGAGAGAGAGAGAGAGAGAGAAAGAGAGAGAATTAAAATAAAAATTCATATCAAGAAAATTAAAACATATAATACATTATTTTGAGTAACGTTGTTCTTTGATTTTTATATTAATCAAAATCAACTCTATATTACATGCGCAGTGACGAAAAGACATATTTAGAAAATCTTTGCGCATTCCCACCTCTGAAACGTTTATCCAACTATGTCATATCCGGCTAGGTACTAAATTGTTCTTTCTGTTCCTGGATGTGGCGTAAGTAGGATGTCTATTTCGTACTTTTAATTCACATTTTTAAAACCTGTAAATGTTGCGTCATACTTAATTTTATCTTTTTTCTTTATAATAATTTTTTATTTTTTTTAAGGAATTTTTTTTAAGAAAAAAAAAAAAAAATAAAAATTATTATTTTAGGAATAATCGATCATCGTATTAATAAACTACAATTATCATCTTTAACAAAATAATTTAATTAGGAATTAGGAACTGAAAGTTCTTTTTAATACATCAAATATGTGAGTAATATTTTTATTTTATGTATTTATAGTAATAAATTTTAATTATTCAATTCAATGTTATAAAGTTGCGATTAATTTTTTTTATCTTCAAATTCATAATTAATTATTACGATATCTGCAATGCGTTATTAATTCATATATATATTCATGAAAATTGATCGCATTATATATTATATATATAATATATATTATATATATAATCGCATATATATTATATATATAATCGCATATATATTATATAATAATTATTTTTTCATTCATTAATTATTTTATACACATTCTGAAATAATTTTTATACTTTTATTAATCATAACTTAGTTTATGAAAACAGTTATGATTTTATTAAAGGTTTCGACATGTAATGAAAGCTATAGGATCCCTCAGAATTAGGTTTGTATTTAAGTAGATTTTATAAAAATTTATAAAATAAAATTTATTAAAATTAGATTAATTTTAAAAGTTGAAATAAAAATAAATAATAAATAATGAATTAATTTTCTTTAATCAATTTTCTTTATTTTTATTTACCTCTCATTTTGGCATGCCTCCATTTTATGTTTATGAATGGAGCATGAATGCTTGTGGGAGGAATAATAATTTGAGAACATGCCTTTGGAATCCACATGTTTTTTTATCTGGAGCTAATTCTCTATGTTCTCTACATTTATATATTAAAATAATAAAATAATTTTTAATGTATGTCAATTTTTTATAGGACATACGGAGCTAGTTATCACAGTGGAAATTATAGAAATACTAAGGAAAGAGGATCTCTATATAGAAATAATATTAATAATAGGAATGGACGATTTGAAAATCGAGCAAAAAACAATATGCATAATACCAATGGAATTTTGAAAAAGCCAAATTGGAATTTTGAAAATTTAAAACCTTTCAAAAAAGATTTTTATATACCACATCCTAATGTTCAAGCACGTCACCCGCAAGAAATAGATATGTTTAGACAAGAAAATCAAATTACTCTTAAAGGAGAAAAAATTCCTAATCCTATTCAGCATTTTGAAGAAGGAAATTTTCCTGACCATGTAATGCAATGTATAAGAAAACAAGGATTCAGTGAACCAACTGCTATTCAAGCTCAAGGATGGCCAATTGCTATGTCTGGACATAATATGGTTGGAATAGCACAAACTGGATCTGGAAAAACATTAGGATATATTCTACCTGCAATAGTACATATTAGCAGTCAACAACCATTAAATCATGGAGATGGACCAATTGCTTTAATTTTAGCACCAACTAGAGAATTGGCACAGCAAATTCAAAAGGTTACTTGTAGTTTTGGCTATGTAAGAAGCACTTGTATTTTTGGTGGTGCACCAAAAGGAAGCCAAGCTCGTGATTTAGAACAAGGAGTTGAGATTTGCATTGCTACACCTGGACGATTAATTGATTTTTTGGAACGTGGCACAACTAATTTACGTAGATGTACATATTTGGTATTGGATGAAGCAGATAGAATGTTAGATATGGGTTTTGAACCACAGATTAGAAAAATTATTGAACAAATCAGACCAGATAGACAAGTATTAATGTGGTCTGCAACTTGGCCAAAAGAAGTTCGAAATCTTGCAGAAGAATATCTTGTAGATTATACACAATTGAATATTGGATCATTAACATTATCAGCTAACCATAATATTCTTCAAATTGTTGATGTTTGCGAGGAAGATGAAAAACAAACAAAGTACTATCTTGATTTTCCTTATATTTTGAAATTTCTAATTTAATAGTACTATAATTAAATATAATAAACATTAAATATAATAATATGATAAAAATTTTATCATTTATGATGAAAATAATTTATGATATTTTATGATTTCATTAAATATTTTTTCCTCTAAGAAGAACTGATATTTCAGATAAATATTTATATATAAATATTTTATTTTTAAAATTTTACATAGAAATATAATATTTCACTTTTTTTTTTTAGATTGCAAAACCTTCTTCAAGAAATCAATAATGTTAGTCCAGATGGTGGAAAGACAATAATTTTTGTAGAAACAAAAAAAAAAGTGGAGAGTATCACTAAAACTATCCGTCGTTATGGCTGGCCAGCTGTATGTATACATGGTGACAAATCACAATTAGAAAGAGATTTCGTTCTTTCAGGTATGTTAGTATATAATGTATAATATTTCTTATTATATTTACTATATTAAATATATTATTAAATTTTAGAATTTAGGAGGAATAAAGATTCTATTCTTGTAGCAACAGATGTTGCTGCTCGTGGATTGGGTAAGTAATAAATTATTTGTTCAATATCTTTCATTTTTTTCAAAAATATTAAATTTTGAAGAATTTTTTGACTTTCGATAAGTTTCATATGCGAAAATTTATATTTAATCAAAAAGGGTAGAGTAAAGTGGCGATGTAGCACAGACTGGTTATATGAAGGTGATGCCTCACTGTTTTTAAAATAAAAATAATTAATATTAAATAATTTATTACATTAATTAAAAATAAACAGTTACATTAATTAAAAGTTTTGATATAAAAATAAAAGATTAGTAGATAATTTCTATTAATATAAATTTTAATAGAATCCATGAAAAATTGTAGAAAAGATAAAAATTAATACAATAATATTAACGCCAATAATTACCAATATAAAATATTGATAATTATCTAAAAAAGAAGTTTTTTTTATCGATTTTGATAATTTTTGAATATACATAGAAATTATTTAAACATCTTGAACAACTTTTTCCTTTACATATAATTACAGTTCAGTTTTAGTTTTCGTAATATTTATAAAAAAAAATTGTTACTATTACATAAAATATTTTAATATATATGCGTATATGTCTTCTATTCGTGGATACATATATGCAATTATTATTTAAATATATGTTTATTATATGTATAAATATATTACAATAGGCGAAGCTTAAATATATAAATATATAAATATATAATAAATATATAATTCGACTAATGAAAAATCTGCTTTTTTATGGATCATGATAGGTAAAATATATTAAATCCAATCCTTCAAGTTTGGATAAAAATGAAATATAAAACAATTTTTGAATTATTAAAATTATAATGATTGACATTATAAATATCAAAATAATATTTCTATCATTGTAATTTCGCTAATAGGTTTTATTCTACATTTTATTCTATATTTCATGAATCTAAAAGAGATTTAATAATATATCTTGAATTACTAAATTGGATAGGAATTAAATTTTTCTCCCGATTATCGGATAACAATGATTATAATTTTGATAAATTATTTTTGTTTATATTGAATGTTTATATTATATTGAATCAATTCATATTGAATTATAGTAATTATATTATGTTAAAACTCAATATAGATTAGAATTAAATTACTTCAAGTTCATAATTTACAAAAAAAAATAATTTTTAACCGATTTACTTGTTATATATAATAATAGTTGTCTACCTTCATGTATTTATTAATAATATAATATTTTGCATATGCTGTATATGATGTATACACGTATAAGAGAAGTTCTACATATAGCGATCTTTTTCTTTACAAATATTTAAGCTAAATTGAATTAAGCTAAGAGGCGGTTATATGATTATAAAAGAAGTTTATAGAAAAAAATTATTCAAAATGTTGATTTTTACAATATATTTAAAAATTATCAAAATTGATAAGGAGGTGTCTTTTCTAGATAATTATTAAAATAAATAGTATATATTCTCAAACTTTACATAAGCTTTATTGCACTAAATAGATGGCATTAGGTAGCTTAGAATTTACTGTTTATTTTATTTGTATTTATATATACAGAATGTTGATGTATTTGAAAGATCTATTGTAGAAATCAAAACAAATACAAAACTTGCTATATATAAAAATATCGATCGAGCTTATTTATTAAATTATAAATAATTTAATTTTGAATTAAATAAAGAAATGCAGATAAGTTTTTTTTTCATACCATATTTTTATTTTGATTCATCTAATACAAACTTCAATTGTTTATAATTTAATAAATAAGCTATGATTTCATTTTTCATATTAATTTTTATATTTGTTTTGATAAAATCGATCCAAAGATATTTTATAAATATATCTATGCTCTGTATATGATATGATATGAAAATATATCACTATTTTTTGTATGAAAAATATTAAATTTATATAGTGGGTAGTTTTTTTTTTTATAGAATAAAGAAAATATTGCGCTTTCTTTTTTTATTCTTTATTTTATTTTTCATTTTTGTTTAATCTTTTATTTGTTTATCTATTATATAATTATGTTAAATACTTAAATTTATACATTTTACATATTTTAATTTTCCTATCAAATTATGAATTTATTAATGCAATCTATTTTGTTAAAAAAGAAAGGAACAGAAGGAGATAAAGAATCGAACGATGCGCTTGTGTTAAAGAATTGAGAGGAAAGATTGGAATAAAGGGAAAGTACATTAGTAATAAATGTGGGCATCCTTTAATTTATGTTAATCAGTCTGGTTGTCCTTTGTTTCAGAGGCACATGGTGCACAAATTGTGTTGAGTGTGCGATGAAAAACGATCGTTCAATAAAGAAAACATGGCTCACTCATTGTACATGCGCAATTCTGTTTTGCACATAATATTGTACTTAATGTGCCTCTGTGTTCAGCCTGTGTACCACGCAAGTAGTAGAGTGGTGCGCGGGTGATACTGTTGGTTGGTTGTGAGATAAGACCATGGTTTACATTTTGGTACAACCATCACACTTCATAGCCAATGCTCAGCCCGAGACAACAATCTATTGATTTTGCTACTATCGCTACTCTGTGATGATGCTTAGGACACGACGTGATATGAAATTGCATTTAAGAATAGCATACATCGTGGGCGCTCTGTATGCTGTCATAATATTCAACGATAAACATGGTTTGTATTTAATTAACTATGCAGCTAACTTACATTCATATACATTTAAATATAAAATTAATACAATTTATAATGTACTTCTAATATCTTAATCATTATAAATATATGATAATAAATTTTATTATTAAATAATAAAATAAATTTTTAATTTTTATTATTTAATAAAAATTATATGGAATTAATTCATATTGACAAAAAATTAATTTTTTCTTATATTTAAAATGATTTTTTTTTTATGAAAAAATTTTAGCGAGAAAAAATTTATGTAATGTAATGATATATTTAAGTATTTTATTATAATAGTTACTTTTTATTCAACTATTCTTTTTTTAAATTTATTTTTATTTATATTTATTTTTATACGTAGGATATACAAACAATAATATAAATATTCTTTTTTAAGTTATATATAAAACGTTTCAAAAAATTTCAAAAGTTACTTATTAATTATATTTTTTTCTTGAAATGATATTTAATATTAAAATGTACATATTTAATGTAATATGTGGTTTAGTGTATGATTATAGGCTTAGCTGCATATTCTCATGAACAGATACAGAAATAAAAATTAGTTCTTCGCTATAATTTCATTTTTGATATTTAACTTTTACTATAATAAATAAATTTAAAAATGAACAAAATTGACAGAAATAATCATGACATGTATCTTTAATATAAAAGATGGTGAAATAAAAGCTATATAAAATTCATTTACTTGGCATGTTAAATACATACTGGTAAAAAATTATATATATATATATAGTATTTTTATTAAATTTAACATCTTATATATAATTAATATACTCGATATTTTTACGAGTATATATTTTAATAAAATTGTTTCTTTAGATGTTGACGATGTAAAGTACGTGATCAACTTTGATTATCCAAATTCATCTGAAGACTACATTCATAGAATTGGTAGAACGGGCCGTTCAAATAATTCAGGAACGAGTTATGCATTCTTTACACCACAAAATGGTCGACAGGCTAAAAGTTTGGTTAATGTACTTAGAGAAGCAAAACAAATTGTCAATCCAAAACTAATGGAACTTGCAGACAGAAATGGAAATGATATTTCACGAAGTTAGTTCCTATAATTTATGAAACTAAATAATCATAAAATAATTTTTAATAATACAAGTAAATATTTTTTATAACTTTTTAGATCGTTGGGGTTATGGAACTTATCGTAAAAGAGAAAATGTTTTTCCTAAAACACATAAACGATTTGAAGTGGTCTAGATTAACTTTACAAACTTTCTAAACGTGTAACTTATTGGAGATGGAACTTGTTACAATCTCTTTCTCTGTGATTAGAAAAAATTGTCCATCAAGGCTCTATTGCTTTATATTAGTTCCGTGCTCGTTAATTTTTTTATTTTTATTTATAATCTTACTGTTCATAGTAAGTAATTATTCTTAGTATGAAATTAGTATAAAATGAGCTATGTGCAAGGAGAAACTCTTCGTTAAATTTCCATTATATAACAATATTTTGCATTAAATTTTTATTTTTTCATTTATTAAAACACAAAAAGAATGAAAAATATGTGATATGAAATATGCGTGAAAATGTAAGTATAAAGAAATACATGAATACTTACATGTTGAATTGATTGATGAATTTTCTAAAATTAATTCGATCTAAAAAGATTTTTTGTTTTAAAAAAAATTGATTGCTAAAGTTAGATTTAATTATGTACTCAATTTTTTTTAGTAGGGAAAAAAACTTAATTTATAATTATTTAGATGTGTAGGAATTGAAGTTCAGTAAGATAAATACACAATGAATGTAATCAGTATTCATTCCACTTCTTCAATGTGACCAATTTTATATTTGGTTATACAGCAAAACCATTTATTTTTAATGTGTCCATTAATAAAATTATAATAAAAAACTTAGAATATTAATATTAAAAAACTATTTTGTTTAATTGCATATTTCATTCGTACTGTGTTATAATAGTTTTAATCTATCAAAAATTTTTATTAAGTAAACTCAGTTTTGTAATAAAATTAACGTATGTGTGAAAATATAATTAAAAATTTTCCATTGATAAAATAAATTATTAAAAAATACAATTTGAATAACTGCATCATTTTTTTTTATTTCATATATTCAAGTTATTAAAAAAAAAAAATGAAATTAATGTATATTTGCAATTAAAATAAACTTCATGTAAAGAATTTAAATATTTGTAATAATAATTGTTTAATGTCCCATATATTTATTTTTATTTGTAATTTGATATATTTCATAATACAATATGAATTATATTATCATTTTTGTTAAAATTGAAATACATACATAAATTTTATAAGTTTTCATTTAAAGATAAAAATTATTTTAATATAATATCATATATATATATATATATATATATATATATATATATA